GACCCGCCAGGGCTTTAATAATTATGGTAAGTAAGGAGATAATTAACTGATGGCTGGAGAAATTAATCACATCGACCACTTGTGAGGAAGGAAAAGTTCAATTATTGATATGAGAGGGCAGGTCTGACTAATTTAATATATTGTTATTTAACACTTTTTTGATGTACAGCTGATTGCAAGTGGAAGTCGTTAAACCTGAGGTTGTTTTTGAAATGCGGATGCACTAAAATGACTACCTGCAGTCGCTGATTGATTCTCCAGGGCGCTCTTGGTGACTTTTAGGGGGGTCCGAAAGTGAAAAACCTTCATTTAATGGGGGAAATAATGGTTCAGACCTTTCGGGGGCCACTCTTGAACCTTCTCCCATTGAACAAAAGGTGTCCTGACATTTACCTGGGTCATTGGCAGGCTTTGTGCCTCTCAGTGTGCAGACGGGAAGTTCTTTTAGCTGCGTTTCAATGGATACCTGCCAGTCAGCCGAGAATCTCAACTCCACAATCATTCTGAAGCCGAAAGGAGAAGAGGAACATTAACATCAATAAAGAAAAAAAATCCCTTCTTCTCAAACAAGGCTTTTTTGTTTCAAAGAGCCACCGATTGGCATGACCAAATATCTCAATGAGAGGAATGTGCACTGCAGTTTAGTGATGCTGGCTACTTCTGATTCCTCCTACGCAAGTGAAAATTGAGCAGTGTCTTTATGAAGAGTTTCCTAATCTTTTGCCTTCCTCAGACTGTGTCCATGATGTGTTTCTCCCTGGCAACAATCCCTCCTTTCACGTTGGACTCGGCACAGTGAGTCATTCAGCTGAATGTCCCTGGCTCTGAATGATTTTGAGTGGGCTGACCAAATGTGTTGGGAGATTCAACACTGAAACAGCTCTTTCTCTCTGAGAGACTGGATGCTTCACTGTCATTTTAGACATATTTTGTTAGAGTTCTGCAAGGCTTTCATGGAGGCATGCAAGGTCAAAATGTTATAAGACTCCCAGGAGAGTTGTGGTTTCAATCCAGTAACACTTCCTGTTGCTGGACGTTTAAGAGTTTTAACTCTTTCCTCAAGAGGTTCAGGACTAAATATTTTGACCGGTAGAACATTGGTCGGCTTTATTTTCTTTACTAAATGTCTCTGACGGTGAAAAAAAAATATAGAGATTTGATAAATATTAAGGCAAAATAAATAAATACAAAGACTTCTTCAAAAGTATGTCTGACAGTTTGCTGAGATGGCTTTGCCAGGTAAGGCCCTGCTCTGGAGCTTGTGGGTTTTAATTCTTCTGTGCGTCAATGAGTTTTAGGCAAAACACATCATGAAGACTGAAGAGCTGGAAGAAACTAATTTGAAGTAATTGTATAAATGAATCTAGCAGTTAAAGAAATGCCTGTTAGATTCTGGTCTTACAGACCTTATAGAAACTTGGAGTTTGGATGTTTGTGAGTTTCATCCTCTCAAACTCAGACCAGTAAAAATCCCATTTCTGTCAGTATAAAGAAGTTTAACAACACATTTAATCCTTGAGGTCACCCTTAATATGAGGGGAAAAGAGCAATTTCCACAACACATCTCAGTGTTTTCTACATGATAAACAAATGTTGGATTAAACGAAAGAAATCTGGCGGCACAACTCTTTAATTGGAAGAAATGCATGTGTAAAATTGCACATTACAGTTAAGTGTATAAGCGTGTACAATGGATACTGTGCAGTCTCTACACAGTGTATCTTGTGTATCCATTGGGCAAGCTAATGTGTGCTGGTTCTGGAATATTTTAGCCTATTTATATGATCATCTGACTGGTGGCATGACAGATTGTTAATTTGATCTTTAATTTCACTTCAGCTTGAGAAACATGTGAGGGTATCTTACCAAATTTTAATTGGATGGAATAAAATAATTAAAAAAATACATATCTGGTCAGGATGTGTGTGGGTCGAGCGTACTGTAGAGAACATTCGAACACCTTTTAAAGGCAAACCTTAATGACTTCTTTAAATGTCAGTGTGGAGGGTGCTGTTATGTATGTCAGATTAAAATCTCATTAACTGAGAATGAATCCCTGGCACCTGCAGGAAAGTGGATGTTTTTTTTTCCCTTTTAAAGAGGAAATGTGATGGGAGAGTCAGTACAACATTAAAGAAGAGGATTTATCCACAGTCAATGATTCAGTCAGCAGCGCTTGATCGATCCTGTTCCCTCGCTCCTCTGCCTCAGTATTACCACAGACTTGTTGCAGACTCCTTCAGAGCATCAAAGAGGATGACGAGCCCCGGGCAAGCCGTGATATTTCAGACTGTTGGTGAAGGCGACCTGCCCTTTACCTCCGCAGTCGCTGAGGATTCCTCCACTCCTCTGTCTTTTTGTTTTTAGGAAGAGAGGACAAAACATTTCAGGAACATATTTCACTTTTAACTCAGAAGGTCGACACGTGCCTGAGGTGGAAGCCCTTCCTTCCTGTGACCTCTGACCCGGAAAGCCTTACAGCTGCAAATCACGCTCTGTGTGAGGTGAATTAGTGACATTTCCCTTTATTCAAATGAAGCAGAAATATATGCTTACTTCTGAATGATATGCAGACCTTGCCTCTCGTTAACTGCAGGCCAGGTTCTGATGGTGTTGTTCATCTGCTAACGTGTGAAGAATGGGATGAATAATCCTCTGAAAAGAGGATAGTATTAAGCTAAATTCTTTTTGCTTTGAAAAATAGATGTTTTTAGATTCATAATCACTGAAGTCACTGAAATCTTAGAGAAAAAAACTTTCTCAGATTCTCCATGCATCAGAGCAATCCAGTACAATAATAGCATTAAAACAAACAAAGATTTTAAATCTATGATCTCGTCTTAGATGCTTTACCTGCACGGACAGAGATGCAGATGCACAAATACCCCTGCAGCTTGCAGAACAAAAAACTGTATGTGATGGAGTTCAGGCGCCACCTTGTGTCCAATCTGCATACAGCAGTTATCAAAATTGATATTTGTTTAAGTCCATTTTAAAACATGGCAGATAAAAGCTTCAAACTCAGTCTTAGCTCCATCAAAAGGATTTTTCTGTTTGAGCAGCAAAAGTGTCACGTGTTTGTGTGCACTGATGCAAAACCTATTGATGTTAACATCTGCACTCCTGCAAACGGTGCCTATTGATTAGCTGGTGATCTGCTAATCATCCTAATGCACCAGTAGGCTCACACTGACAACATTTCATGTTAATTTCCTGCTTGATGAACCCATGACAGAAAATAATGGCTTTGCAGATAATAGCATTTGATGCAGTTTGATTATGTACCCTGGCCTAAAAGCTTTTTCAGAGGACCTTTCCAAAGACAGAAAGTTTGGCTTTTGGCACGAGAAAATTCACTAAGTGTCCATATTGTGCATAATGGCAATGAGATGTCATCTATCCAGATATATTATAGGCTTTAAATTCAATATACTGCAACCAGTATACTGAGAATACATCATCCATCCCAAAATATGGCTTACTCTTATGAGGTTACTTGTCATTGGTTGGCTGTATTGCACAAACCAATAAGAATTCAGATCCACTGGGAACAAGGATCAGGTCATTTCTGTGTGCGAGTTTCACTAAAAACTGAACAGTTCTGCAGCAGGAGAACAAACAGCTACAACAGCTGGTTGTGTTGTAGATGTTTACTAAACTTACGGGGCGATCGTGGCTCAAGAGTTGGGAGTTCGCCTTGTAATCGGAAGGTTGCCAGTTCGAGCCCCGGCTTGGACAGTCTCGGTCGTTGTGTCCTTGGGCAAGACACTTCACCCGTTGCCTACTGGTGGTGGTCAGAGGGCCCGGTGGCACCAGTGTCCGGCAGCCTCGCCTCTGTCAGTGCGCCCCAGGGTGGCTGTGGCTACAATGTAGCTTGCCATCACCAGTGTGTGAATGTGTGTGTGAATGGGTGGATGACTGGATATGTAAAGCGCTTTGGGGTCCTTAGGGACTAGTAAAGCGCTATATAAATACAGCCCATTTACATTTTTTTAAACAAATTTAGACATAAAGAAACGTCTTTCTAAAAGTGCCCAGAGGACAACGTTCAGGGATGTCTGGTGTTTGGAGAGTACCTCTAATTGCTTCACATTTTGTTTTCTGTTGGCAAACACAACTGCAAATGGTTTTCTACCTAGAGTTGATGTTGCTAATGTTGTGATTTACCAGACACTTTATTAGGTACACTGGTTTGGCCTTTCATGATTAGAATTTGATGTTCAACCACATCCCAAATGTGCTCAATGGGATAGAGATCTGGTGACTGTGGAGGCCATTTGAGTACAGAGAACTCATTGTCATGTTCAAGAAACTAGTTTGAGATGATCTAAGCTTTGTGACATGGCGTGTTATCAGAAGATGGTAAACTGTGGTCATAAAGGGATGGACATGGTCAGTAACAATGCTCTAAGCTGTGGTGTTTAAATTATGCTCAGTTGGTACTAAGGGGCCCAAAGTGTACCAAGAAAATATCCCCACATCATGACACCAACAGCAGCCTGAACGGTTAGTACAAGACAGAATGGATCCATGCTTTCATGTTGTTACACCAAATTTTGACTCAACCATCTGAACGTTGTAGCAGAAATTGAGAATCATCAGACCAGGCAACATTTTTCAAATCTTCTACTGTCCAGCTCTGTTTGAGCTTATGTTCAGTAAGTCATTTTGACCATGTCTACATGCCCTGAGTTGCTTGCACTTGATTGGCTAATTAGACATTTTAATGCTTAATGAGCTGTTTATCAGACATGCATAATGAAGTGGCCATTGAGTGTAAGTTAAGCTGTAAAAATAGGTGTTTTTGAGGGACAGACAAGGTTTAGCGCTGTACTTTTAAGTGACTCAGATAGAAATAAAACCTTTTAACAAAATCCGAAACAACAAGAGAAGCTGCTGGAAACTTCAGGTGATATATCTTGAGAGTTGTTCACATCATTTCTGCTTTTAGAAACTCTGAGAAAACAAAAAGCTTAAACTTAATTTAAAAGGCGATCACACAATTTCAATGATTTAATTAAACTAATTATGAATTGTTTTACAATGTAAATTCCCCACTACCACCTCCTACATTCAAATGCTTCTGTGAATTACCTTTACAATCACCTTCAGCCTATGTACAGATTTGAATCGCGATGCTAAACTACCGAACATGAAAGTAATGTGAATAAATCCCATTAAATAACCATCAGACAGGATTTCAAACGTGTGGTTCTACAGCGGGTAAAAAGAAAAAGGGATGAGCTGAACACCCGAGATGAAAGAACGTCTGCTGAAAATGAATGAGTCTGAGGCGAGTGGGACTTGGCACACGGTCGGGCCGACATGCTGGCAAATATTCACACTTCAGTCTTTGACATCAGAGAGAAGAAAACGGGAGATTAGTTTGGCCGCACTTCAGATGAGTCCAGCTTTCTTCCAGCTGTTTCTGAGCCCCCCGGAGTCTCTGGCCACTAGAGAGCAGCAGCCGTCCACGGTCTCCGCAGCATGGCTCCTCGCTCTCATTTCAGTCTGATTTGCATGGAGTGGTTCCTTACTCGGCCCATATTTTACAATAGATTGGACTCTGAGTTTGTAAATCCTCCTCGCTTGTCCAAGAGGCTCGGATCTGGCACCCGCATCTCAGACCCTGATGATGCTGATGGAGGAGGAGGCCCTGTGCAGCTGAAAGAGAAGGAGCACACCATGAGACGTGAATCACAGACCACAGCATGTCATGCATGTCAGAGATTTACTTGCCAATCAATGAGCGAGGGTGAGCAGAGAACTAACTGCTCCCAGGAGCTTTTTATTTAAAGACTATCCTATTTAAAGTAGGATGCTTTTATTTTTAATCCATCATTAGGCTTTGGTATTTAAATCTCTGCAGAAATCTGTGTGTGCACATATATCCCCAGGAAAGTAGACATAGCCCTAAATGAATTATTTTTTTAAAGGATTAAACTCACGAGAAGTAGCTAATAAACTGTAAGGACACTTAAAAGCTGCAGAAATGCCAATAAGAAAAGACTAAATTAAGATAAGAGTGGTGTTTTTATAATTAAATTAACCATTAAATCCAGCCAGTGCAGTTTCAGCTCCGTAAACGCTCAAAGTAACGCTGCCTTTCTCTCACTTTGACACCACTGGAAGCCGTCCTGTATGAATAAACAGTGCGAGCTGCGCGCGGTGGGCGGTCAATTGACCCGTACATCACGAGCAGTGAAGTCACAGGTTCTCGCAGCGAGAGGCCAATTAGAACGGGAAGTGTGAATTAACTTCCGACAGACAGATGCCCTGCCAAAATGTTCTCTCCACAAACACTCTTTGATACATATAGACAGGCGATGGATTAAAGGAAAAGATTTTAAAACAGAGCGCAGCAGAGGACAGAAATCTGTAAACTCCACATTTATGATTTGGAGTCACACAGGCTGTCGCTCACTTCAAACTCACCATGCCACATAGAAGCTTTTAAAGGACTCAGTGGCATTGCATCTAAATGCACTGGCTGACCATGGTTCATTTTGTGAAGGGCCGTATTTTAATCCAAGCTGTGAACCTTTCCCAAACCAAACTGACTGTCTCCGTCACATTAAAGTAAAAACAGCATGTCAACCTCTTTGCGACCAGAAAATTGAACTAGAAAACTAGAAAAACTGGTGATTGCACTGCATTTTTTCATGATCGAGTGCTGCAAGTAGTTGCAACACCAAAAGCGTGAACACTTTTGATTGCCTGGAGGGAGGCAACCTGTCTTGAAACAGACTGCAATCACTCTGAGACCACTTGGCAAAAGTTTGCAAATGATCCTAAACGCAAATTTAGAAACACAGATTTCCAGCATGCAATCAATCTAAGTCAGTCTGCACCAAATGAGCATGAATCTCTGTGCAACATGAGACTCAACTTAACTGGTACTCCCCCTTGTAAAAGCAAGGCTGCTGAGCACCAAGATAATTTTTCAGTTAAATGAGTCATGAGAGCGTCTGCTTCACGAAAATCTGCTGGCAATGAGTCTTTCACATCGCTGTGGAGGAATTTTGTCCCACTCTTCTTTGCAGAATTGTTTTAATTCAGACACATTGGAGGGTTTCCAGCATGAACGACCTGTTTAAGGTCAGTGCAAAGCATTGCAATCTAATTTAAATCCAGAGTTTGACTTCACTCCAAAAACATTTTGTTTATTTCTGCTGGTGTGTCTCTGATCATTGTCCTGATGCATAACCCAAGTGCTCTTGAGCTTCAGGTCTTGAACTGATGGTTGGACATTCTCCTTCACGATTATCTGGTAGAGAGCAGAATTCATGGTTCTATCAGTTACAGCAAGTCGTCCTGAAACAGCAAAGCAGCCCCATCACACTACCACCACCATGTTTGACGGTTGCTGTGATGTTCTTTTTATGAAATGCTGTTAGTTTTATGTCAAATGTAACAGGACTTGAACCTTCCAGAAAGTTCAGCTTTTGTCTCGTCAGTCCACAGAATATTTTCTTGGGGATCATCAAGAAGTTTTTGGTAAATGTGAGACAAGCTTTTGTGATCTTTTTGGTCAGCAGTGGTTTTCTCCATTTTTGTTCAGTCTCTGTCTTATTGTTGAATCATGAACTCTGACTTTAACTGACACAAGTGAGTCATGCAGTTCTTTCAATGTTGTTGTGGTTCTTTTGTGACCTCCTGGATGAGCCATCGAAGCTGTTGGAGTAATTTTGGTTGGCTGGTCACTCCTGGGAAGCTTCACCGCTGTTCCAAGTTTCCTGCATGTGTGGATAATGACTCTCACTGTGGTTCACTGGAGTCCCAAAGACTCAGAAATGACTTTTTAACCCTTTCCAGACTGATAAATGTCACTGACTTAATACATGATTTAATAAAGGGGGCAGTTACTTTTTTCACAGCACCGGGATTCAGGCTGCTGGATAGTTCCTTATTCTATTAACGCACATAATCTGTGTCCTCTGTTTCCTTCCTCTTAATGACCAAAGTTTTATGATTTGTTGTAACCTTCCTCTGAGAGTTTGTAATGAGGCCGTGAACGTGCAGCCTCGCTTTCTCTACTCAGCACCACAAGTGAAGAAATGTTCTTCTATCTGATGTTATTCTCTGCACCAGTAATCTTGCAGATGACGAAATGGGTGATAAATGAAATGTGGCCATTAGGGGGCGCTGCAACCAGGACACCTGTAGCTGGTGTGTCTAATTAAAGCTGCTCGCATGTGCAAAAACAAAAACAAATCGTCTGCCTGTTCGCTTTAACTGAGGAGATGCTCAGCAACAACTGAATGGGCGTTTGCGCTGCTCTCTGTTTTCAGCCCGGCTGTTTTATATTTAGCTGCGATGGCAGTAGCTCTAGTTGCTAGGAGATCTCTGATGCAACTACAAAGACTCTACAGAGGAAACAAAATACTCCTGGCAGCCAGGAGCGAGCGTGCATTATAGAGGAGTTCTGCAGCAAGACGAAGAGGGGAGGAAGAGGAGGAAGTTTTAGTAAATGAGTCACCCTGCTGCTGCGGACGGCTCCGTTGTGGTAGATGGGCGAGCTGCCAGCTGAGGCATTGTAGTAGGAGGAAGTGGCTCGGACCAGCGGCCGCTTGGCTTTCTCCTTGGTGCCGTTGGAGTCGTTGTCTTTGATGATGTCGTACTGCCGGCAGAAAAGGGCGATGACGGCTGGCGGTGTGGAAAGCAAAGAGAAAAGAAGTCAAAAACATCCCTCGCTTGATGAGTTTGCGGTCTCAAGCACTAGATTCAGGTCATATTAAATTAACACATGAATTTTATTGAATACATTAAGGCGGTTAACGGAGTTAGAAAGGAAAATTATTCAGAAGAGATGCTTAGAGTGTCCATTGGATGGTGTCTGTTGGTGCAAGCTGACCTGCCCACAGCAACAGCACAGTGGTGATGATCAGCAGCTCTCCAGTCTCCAGTTGTGGAGTCATACCCAGACCCTCCATCGCTGGCTCATCTGAGGACAAAGACAAGTCCGGTCAAACTCTACTCAACAGAATATACTACAGTTCTATCTTCTACCAGCAAATCCCATTAAAAAAAAAACAAAAAATCTGAAAGGCTCACAGTACGTTTAATGTGGACTATTTTTAGTAGCGGATTGATCCACATTTTCTGTTGTTTTCATGGTAATAATGCAACATGTGAGTCAGTGCAACAGTGTGACTCACTGATGTGTTTTTAATGACCACCACAGTGAAGCTCTGAGGCACACAGGAGTAACATGTACGCTATGACACTTTGTAAACACAGTACTTAATGGGATTTTCCCCCCCAGATGTTTGTAGTTGCTATGGCTACTTTACAGGTATTATTTTTACTGCTACTGTTCCACCCTTATACTACAGTGCTATGCAAAAGTCTTGAGTCAACCCTTTCTTTATATCTTTCTAGGAAAATGTGATTTACTGAAACGTGCAAATATATGAGGCAAAAACAGTTTGTACAACTCTAATGAGTTGTGACCATCTTTATTCTTCAGGACAGTCTTAGGCAGCTGGAATAGTTCTCCAGGCTTCTTGAAGGACAGTCAAAGCTCTTCTTTGGTTGTTTCTGCCTTTTGTTCCGTTCTCTGTCAGCATGATCCCACACTGCTTCGATAATGTTGAGATCCAGGCTCTGGGGAGGCTAAATCCATGACCGATAGTGTTCCACTATGTGTTTTTCAATCGAGGTATTATTTTACTGCATTGGCATTGTGTTTAGGATCATTGTCATGGTGAAAAATGAAGCTGCTGCCAATCAGATGGTTTCCAGATGGTATTAAATGATAGATCAAAAATTCATAATTCAACAATTATGACACAGATCGCCAAGATGTCAGCCTTTCCTCCCTGTTTCCCTCCATTAATGATTGCTTCCTGACAGCCACGCTTTCACTGAGACCATTTCAATGAGGCTTCAATGAACAGTAGCTGGATCAGCTGAAGGTCCAGATGCATTTCTCGTGTCCTGTGTCTGTTAGGAGACCTGGGTCGTTGACCCAGAGTTTTGAGTTTTCATTATTGTTGAACTTTGATTTAGCCATTTTTTATCATTTCTAGTCTTTTGGTTTATTTGTTAGAGTTCTCTGTCCTATGGTTTATGTATCTGTGTTCTATAGTTGCTCTGTCTCCTCTGTCAGCTTTATCCCCTTGTCAAGTCCACGTCTCTGTATTATGTTTCCTGTTTTACTTTGAAAGTCCCTGATTTTGCTTCCCTTGTCTCGTTAGCCCTGATTTGTCCCAGCTGTGTTTCCCTCCTGCCTTCCATTCCTTGATTGCGCCCTCTGTGTATTTAAGCCCTGTGTGTTCCTCTGTCTGTGTCACGATCTACTGTCTTATCATGCTGTGTTCTGCCTGTCAGCCTGTTTGGTTTTGTCGTTTTCAGTTTAGTTTTTGGTTTTTATTTTACAATAAATCTAAGTTTGAGTTTACATTCCATCTCTGTGAGTCTGCACTTTGGGTCCTCCTTACCACCACTCCTGCCTGCATACAGCCTCACCTGACAGTGTCAGGTCTTTGCTGGATTCCCCCCCCCTGTTTCTTAAGAACGTGACTTTTAGATGGTGTTCATCTGCTGTACTTGTCCAGTTTTCTCAAAATTTTTAAGGACACAGTGCACACCATGCTGAGATATGCCAAGCTTTCAGCTATATCTCTTTGTGAATCACCTTGCTGGTGCAAAAATACTATTTTATGTCTGTCAAACTGTGTTATCTTTGATATTTTTCACAGATTCAACCAAAGAAATTGAAACAAATGGTGTGTTTTTATGATAGCTTGCTAATAACAAAGTAACTAAAGATACAAAAGAACTATGCCTTTGAAGTAAAACACAAAGACATGAGGAGTGGCTCAAGACTTTTGTATACTGAATAACGCGTACAACATTACAACTACATCATTTTATTATTATTGCCAGTGTCTGTGAAGGTTCTCAGTCATCCAGGTCAACATAGTCTAAGGAGCTTGGAAAGAAAAGCGTCTGGACTTCTTTAAGTTGCTTCAAGACGTTTCACCTCTCATCCGAGAAGCTTCTTCAGTTCTAGGGTCAAATGGTGGAGAGTCCCAGATTTTAGCCCTGTGGGAGTATCCCCCCCGAGAGGGACAAAGGACCCCCTAATGATCCTCTACCTAATCACATGAGCCAAGTTGTGAAAATAGGTGTAGCTCACAATCAGCCAGGCTTTCGTGTGGGCTCATTGTGAAACCTAGCCCCACCCTATCATGTGAGTACCTGAGTTTAGAAGGCCCAGGTTGTGCGTGGGCGTTAAGGCGTCTGGGAAGGGATCTCAAAACTGAATTTTAGATAGCAGACAGTTGGTGTCGTCTGTTCATAGATGGTTTGACTGATGGCCCTTACTATAAAGATTTGTTTTGGACTTTACGTTTCCAATTTTGCTTTAAGTTATAAAGTTATTTTGTTATTTACATATGGCCTAATAATTATCCTTATTGCTGTTTTAGATGCTTCAAAGGATAGTTACAGATTTCTGTCAGAATCTGCAGATTATACAGTACTCTTGAGGGTACACCAGTACTGAAGGTCCAGATACACTCAACTCAAACGCTGCTCATGACATCCTTCCATCTCGTATTATTAAAGATGGGTTTAACATTATCGAGCCCTGTATTCTATCATTAATTAACCCGTCATTGTTATCGGGTTGTGTTCCGGCTGCTTTCAAACATGCTGTAGTGCAACCTATACTCAAAAAGACCTCCCTTGATCAGAATTATCTCGCTAACTTTAGACCCATTTCCAAACTCCTGTTTCTGTCTAAAATCCTAGAGAAGATTGTTCATTCCCAACTTCAAACTTATTTGGATGCAAATAATATCGAGGAAAAATTTCAGTCGGGCTTTAAGCCACGCCATAGCACGGAAACTGCATTACTGAGAGTCTTTAATGATCTTCTCTCAATTGCTGACTCAGGGCGCCCTGTGGTGTTAATTTTGCTTGATTTGTCCTCTGCTTTTGATTTGGTGGACCATAATGTCCTTTTAATGAGGCTTAAACATCTGGTGGGCGTCACGGGCAGTGCCCTTAGCTGGTTTAAATCCTATCTCTCAGAAAGGTCCTTTTCTGTCACCATGGGTACCTACTCCTCCTCCATTGCCCCTGTTACCCCTGTGTCCCCCAGGGGTCTGTGTTGGGTCCCATGCTGTTCTCTTTATACTTGTTACCCTTGGGCCGAATCTTTGATAAATACAATATTTCTTTTCACTTTTTTGCGGATGACATTCAAATCTATTTTGAACTAGCTGAGGATGTCACATTGTCGTTGCAACACTTCTCCGATTGTATGAATGAAGTTAAAATCTGGCTACTGAGCAATTCCCTCATTCTAAATGATAAGAAGACTGAAATTGTAATCTTTGATACTCCCTCCTCTCAGGCTGAACTAATTGGTATTCTTGGGCCCTTTGCTGACTCCCTTTCTGACACTGTGAGGAACCTGGGTGTTGTCTTGGACAGTTCCTTCAAGTTGCACAAACATGTGTCCTCTGTAGTTAAATCGAGTTTCAATCAATTACGTCTAACCTCTAAGGCCAAGCCCTACTTACCACATAAGGACCTGGAGAAACTTATCCATGCCTTTTATTACATCAAGGTTAGATTACTGTAATTCCCTTTACACTGGTCTCAATTCTGCCCTTGTTCACAAACTGCAGCTCGTTCAAAATGCGGCTGCGCGTCTCTTAACTGGAACTGGCAGGTTTGAGTCTATTACTCCAGTTCTTTCCGACCTGCACTGGCTCCCTATTAAATTTCGTATTGATTTTAAAATCTTATTGCTCACTTTTAAAATCATAAATAGCACTGTGCCCAGCTATCTTACGGATCTCCTCAGCTTTTATACCCCTGGGAGAGCGCTTAGATCAGCAGGCCAAATGCTCCTGGTGCGACCTAGATCTCGGCTCAAGACCAGAGGTGACCGCGCATTCGCCGCTGTCGCACCCTACCTCTGGAATAACCTCCTTCTAGCTATTCGGGCGTCTGATTCAATTTAATCTTTTAAATCTCGATTAAAAACGTATTTGTTTAGCCTTGCTTTCCCCGCCTCCTAGAGCCCGCATTTTTACTGTATTGTAACTTATCTTTTTCGCTTTATTAATGTTTATAATGTTTTAACCTTCAGCCTTTTGGGTTGTGCCTACTACGCCTGGTGTATTATTGGTTAGTTATGTCTCCCGCCTGTTAGTATATTTTATTTGTATTTTGTATTTTGTGTTTTGTACTTGTATTTATTATTGCTCTTAACTTGTTCTGTGAAGCACTTTGGCATACAGTACCTGTGGTTTTTTAAATGTGCTATATAAATAAAATTGTATTGTATTGTACAAATAAAATGTTCACATTTCTCCAACGTTGTCTTCCCAACAGTTTCACTAACATCTACACTGGATGGCCAGGAAGCATTCACGATGTCTTCTCCGGCGCTGATAATTGGTGTCTGTCTTGTGCCAGTGACATAAGACACGGATTTAATGCGACATGACCATTCAAACAGCAGTCGCTTTCTAAAACATCAGATATGTATCGGATTCAGTAACACATATGAAAGTGGCCCAGATCGGATTTGAAAATATCGGATTTGTGCTGTTCACACTGTCATACCATGATCGGATATGGGTCGCATAGGGTCAAAAAAGTCGGATTTGATGTGCTTTCGCCTGTCATCTGAACCTAGCCATAGATGGCTTCTTTTCCTCCTATTTCAAACCATCTGTCTTCTCTGTCCAAAATTTGAACATTGGCGTCCTCAAAAGAGTGACCTTTGTCCTTTAGATGCAGATGGACCGCTGAGTCTTGTCCCGTCGAGGTGGAGCCATGCGTTTGTGAAGTGGCTGTTTGGTCTCTCCAATGTAGAGGTCTGAACATTCCTCGCTACACAGTACAGCATATACTATGTTGCTAAGTTTGTTTTTAGGAGTTTTGTCTTCGGGATGAACCAGTTTTTGTCAGTCTTAAAGTCCAGACACATTTCTTTCGAAGCTCCACAGACTATTATTGCCAGTATTTAACATGTGCATACACACCTTGAAAACTTGACTTAAAACAGCGTTTCTGAGACACCAAACTTCTGCGTACTTCATGCAACAATAAAATACCTCAGATTTGTGTCTGTGCTGCTGAAACACGGCACGTCATGTGTTTTACTTTAGGAAGCTCCCCTCTGGAGTGTGTTTATGAGCACTCACGGTGGTCCAGGACTCCGGCTGGATAATGGTCGGTCCTCTCCAGAGTCCTGAAGTGGACGGCACGGCTGGGTGGGCTGTCACCGTGCGGCCCAACGGACTGCACCTACATCCAACAAGGGGGAAAAAAGTATTTAGAGGGAATGTTAAGATATTTTTAAGCAAAGGTAGAGCCAAGCTGATGACAGCTGAGCACAAACTCTGGGTGCATTCTTACAGTGGCATTAACAAAGGACAACATTATGCAACGATGGTAAGAAACTGGCTGCCGAGGGTATATTTAGTGAGCGAGCGGTGCTTTGGCTTTTGGCCGTGATCCTGAATGATCATTGGAGGACGCTGAGTAAAAGCTTGAAAGGCAACAGAGAGAATATAAACTTAAGCTATAAGCTCATTTGGGGACATTTTCAGTCACTGGGAAAGATTATAAAATTAGGCTTTGTGTAAAAAATAAACACGTGTTAATGGTGTTTCACATTCAAATCGGGCTGCAGTGGAGTTTTGTAACAGGAAGCACTCAGTTTAATGCACACACAGGGAAATCAATCAATCACAGAGATAAAATTACATCCACACGAGGTCTCAATGTGCCACAGATGCTCTCTCCACCTACACAACACAGCCAACGGCAGTATGCAGCAAGTTTTCTGTGGAGTGTATGAAGTAAGTCCTTGAATTTAGAGTGTTTGTTCTCCTCTAATTCTACAGTCTGATGCCTGCAAAGTGTCCTCTGCAAGCTCTAATCTGTCCCCTCATCCTGGATAACAACACCCAACTCCATTGGGAAATTCATCCTTTAATTTTTAACCTCCCCGCACGCCAAAGGGAGGTCAGAGGTCAAATTCAGCCCCCTCTGGACCTCACCGGGCAGCAATGCATTGCTCAATGACACTTTCGCAGGACATCTGTCTGCTGACGAGCACATTGAAGCAAGTCCTGCAGCTGAAGGACAGTCTGCGTCAGTCTGTTAGGCTATAATGGAGCATAAAAATTTTAATAGCACCACGATAATGGAGTCACATTAGAGACTCCCTCTTCAGAGAGGAGCTGCAGTTTTAGTTTAAACTTTCAGAACAGAGACGTGTCACTGTTTAGGTTGATCAAACACTGACACTTGATTTAAGAAAAAATGCTTTGTCATCATCTAAGAAAGTTTCTCAGCTGTGATGCAGATGATCCATCTATTCGCTAACCAAGCATTAAATGATACTGAAATAATTAACATAATTAAAATGGTAATTAATGTTTTTATGAGAGGTTCAGCAGTGTTTTTCAGCCCTGGATAAGCAATTTGTAAGGTTGCCAGGTTGTGAAAATATCAAATTATTTTACATTTATGTGGACTTGTGCTTAAAATATGAGTTTATAATCAGCTTTCAGCTTCATTACACTGAGTAATACATAGATATACAGTTTTGGTCAGACGTTTACATCCACTCATCATAGGCATGAATGTCGTGGTAATTTTGGGCTTTTAATTATTTCTTGGAACTGTTCTATTTCTAGGCTGGGATGATTGTACAGGATAAATCTTTAATGACTTTGAAAAACAAGAACTGGGTAAGTTTCAATTCAGTTATCTATTTATTTTGGATTTTTTCTAATCCAAACAGGCTCAAAAATATGCATACACTCTTAAATCTTTTACTAAATGGTGCTGATTGTTCTATGATGTCTTTTAACTCACAAGGCCAATTAACTTCTCGTTAGTGATCATGACTGTGTACAGCTGGTAGTTTCTCTTTGCAGTATTAAAAGGATTTGTTTGACGGCACTCATTAGGCTGACCAATACTCGGAACAATGGGAAAGTCCAAGGAACTCAGTGAAGATCCAAGAAGGAGAACTGTAGATTTGGGAAGGTTGTGAAGGTCTTGCAGCCATTTCTAAACAACTGCAGATTCCAAGATCAGTGATTCAAACAAATGTACATAAGTAGGCTACAAGTTATTCAGATGTGTCACCACTTTGTTGCTACATCATGAAAATAATGTTGATCGTGGACCAACATTATTATTACCTAAGAACGCCGTACCAGCTGTCAAGCATGGTGGTGGCAGGTTCATGCTGTGGGGCTGTTTTGCTGCCAGTGGTACTGGTACACTGCAAGAAGTTGATGGAATAATGAAGAAGGATGACTATCTCCAAATTCCTCAAATTCACCTCAAATCAGGACAATGATCCCAAACAGATCAAAACTAGTTGGGAATAGATAAAGCAGGCTAGCATTGAGCTTCTGGAATGGCCTTCCTAAAGCCCCGGCCTCAATCCTGTTGAAAATCTCTGAACTGGGCTTAAAAGCCGGGTCTGTGCCAGGAAACCATCCAATTAGAATGAACTGGCAGAAAGTATAATAGGTGAGTTTTGAAGGTAAAGATATTTGATATTAAAGAAGATATTATA